TATATATATGTATATAACCAATTTTGAAATTCTTTTAGTTAACATATTATATTATTTATTTTTATAATCTTTTTGGTATTAATTAACGTATTATATTTCTAGAGATTTGTTTTAATTATATTATGAAATATTGTAATTGATTATTTTTCAATTCTCTCTTTTTGGTCATTTTATATGTTTATAAGCTAGTTTTTGTCAAACATAATTTGTTCATCAGCTAGCTTATCAGCTACCAGTCAGTTTATCAATCATCAGCTAACTTATCAGCTAGTTTGTCAAACATAACCTAAAATACAAATAAAAATAAAAAGTTGACATTTAACATGTGTGGGGGTTTAATCATCTGAGAATCTGGTATATTGTGATAATCGTGAAATTTTTTGCTAAGTATTGTTTCAAATGTTTTGTTTTTCTTATTTAAGGTTATTATTTAATGTATTGATGAACATATATTTGTTTTACAATGTTTGTTTTATATGTATTCGGTTTATAATGTGAAACTTATTAAGTATAACTTTTGTTTCATAAACTAACAAGGTTCACATTGTAAAACAAACACGTAGTGAAATAAACATATGTTAATCAATATTCTAAATCTTAGTTTTAGATGGAAAAAACCATATGAAATATTAAATGATACATTAGGTTTTAAAGTTATCATAATTTCATGGGTTCTAAAAACTAAATGTGAAATTATTAGAAGTTTATTTAGCAATGACAACACTTAGGGGTCGTTTACTACATGCTTACCCGGTGAGTACTTACCAGAAAATTTTCCTCACCGGATGAACATGGCAAGGGCCAAGAATCTTACCCGGTAAGAGCGATGATAGGGATGGAGAATCTTATCTGCTAAGTGAAGATGACGACTCTTACCCGGGTAAGCGCTTATCAGGTAAATTGTTGTATATGATAACGTTTTGATGTACTATAATCTTACCCAATAAAATAAATAATAGTGTTGACTTCTAACGTAAAGCACTTGTCGGTTAAGCATTTAAGTAAACGACCCCTTAATTAGAATAATTCCTTTATAAAGCTTCAACAAAGAAGACAAAAAAAAATTAAAAATGTAAGAATAAATAATTTATATGTGAATTATAAGTTAAGAAATTTTAAATTCATACATATATATATATATTATATATATACTAGAAGCGTACTCGCGCAATGCAGCGAGATACATCGTGTTTTTAATATTTCATTTTATTCTTTATCTCAGTCGATGTTATAATATGGCTTTATGTGATTTTGAGAAAGCGATGATTTTTTATTTTTGAATAAAAT